CTCGCTTGAGCCCAGGAGTTGGAGGTTGCTGTGAGCGTGATGCCATGGCACTCTACCCAGGGGGATAGCTTGAGGCTCCGTCTCAAAAAAAAAAAAAAAAGTTTGCACTTCAGCCCTTTCAGCTGCCATCCCCTTTCACTGTTCCTTATAGTGCAACTGAAGAGTTATCTACCTATACACTAATTTTCTCTTTTGAGCCCACTCCAGTGAGGATTTTTTACCAGAACCTGCATGGCATGCACTTCAGTGATCTAGTTGCTTAACTTTTTCAACACATCAATGTATACAATCGATCACTCCCTCCTTTTTGAAATGCTTCCTTCATTTCTGTGTAGGCAGAATGGTGCAAACCCACCACACCCCAACCACATGGCCAGCAAAGACATCTACATCCTAAATTCCTGGAATTGTTACATAGCGAAAGGGATTTTGTGGATGTGATTAAGTTAGAGATCTTGAGATGGGGCAGATATCCTGGGTAATCTGGGTGGGCCTTATCTATTATGATGGATCTTTAAAAGCAGAGGGCTTTTCCTGGCTGAGGTCACAGGGGATGTGACTAGGGAAGAAGGGTCAGAGAAGTGCTTTGAAGATGGGGAAGGGGGCTGGGAGCTAAGAAATAAGGGTGGCCTCAACCCTGGAGAAGGCAAGGAAACATTCTCTTCTAGGTCCTCCGAGAAGGAGGCTTGATTTTAGTCCCATGTGGGACTTAATGCAGAACTGTAAGATAAATTTATATTGTAAGGCATCACTGAGTTTGTGGTAATTGGTTATAGCGGTGTTAGAAGACTAATACAGATTTTTGCCTTCTAGGAGACCGTTCTTGTGAGTTTTCCTCTAGTTTTAGTGGCCACACCTCAGTTTGAGTTTCAGGTTCTTCATTAGCTCCTCCACTTCTGCTGTATCTACCTGGACTCTGGACCCATATCCACTGCATCCTTGCCATCTCGTATGGATGTGTCGTGGTTAAAACTTAACCTGAATTCCTACTCAGATGTAACGTCAGTGAGGCCTCCCATGACTGCCCCATTGAAAATAGCAACCACCACACCACTGGCATGCTCTACTGCCATGCTGTGCTTTTAGTGTTTTCCATGACACTATCATCTCACAAACTTTTTTGTCTCCCTGGTCAGAATAAGTTCCATAATGGAGCGTTTCCCCCCTGTGTTGTCTGTTTTGTTAATCATATTCCAGCATCCAGAATGGTGCTTAGGGTGCTCGGTAGATGCAGAATGATGGGTACTAATAGAGACACAGATAAATTGTAGTACTATGGTATTAGAGAGTAATGAGAGCTGCCCTAGAGTGCATTAACAAATTACACAGTGGTCATATTTGAGCTGGAGCTTGAAAAAAGCTTGATGCACAATGAGATAGCATTTCACATCCACTAGAATGGCTATAATCAAAAAGATAGACAATAATAAGTCTTGGGAATAGTGTAGAGAAGTTGGAACCCTCGTACACAGTGGCCATGTAAAGCAGTGGTGTGGTGGTAGCTTTTGAAAATAGTTCAGCAGCTTCTCAAAAAGTCCCCACATAATTCAGCAATTCCAATATATCCAATATCCAATTCTTGATACCAGAGAGAATTGAAAACATTAGTGGTTGCCTGGGCTGGTGTGGGGATGGACAGTGGCTGCTAATGGGTATGGCATGTCTTTCATTATTATTATTATCATTGTTAGTATGTTTTAGAGACAGAGTCTTCCTGCTGTGTTGTTTGGGCTGAAGTGCAGGGGTGTGATCATAGCTCACTGCAGCTTGGAGCACCTGGGCTTCAATAAGTGATCTTCCTGCTTCTGCCTCCCGAGTAGCTGGGACTACAGTCATGTGCCACAATGCCCTGCTAATTTTTTTAAAAAATATATTTTGTAGAGACAAGATCTCACTATGTTGCTAGGCTGTTCTTGAACTCCCGGCTTCAAGTGATGCTCTAGCTTTGGCCTTTCAAAATGCTGAGATTATAGGTGTGAAGCATCATGTCCAGCATGGGTATGGGTTTCCTTTTAGGTGTGATAAAAGCATTTTGGAATTAGTAGTGATGGTTGTGTAGCAGTGTGAATGTACTAAATGCTGCTAAGTTGTACACATACTGAGAAAGTGTGGAAAGTACATTTCAGACAGGAAATAACACAAGGGAATTGGAAATATGAAAGAACAATGCGTGTTTGGGAGAAGTGGCATGATTTGGAC